GTCGAGAGGGCGGGGCTGCAGTTTCTGAAACCTGAAACCCGAAGGGGTGTTTCCCAACACCTAATGCTGTTCTAAATTACTCTACAAATTTCTTCCAATCTCATTTAGACCTTTGAAAGTATGTAGCCATGGCCCTCAGCTCAGAATGAGATACCAGGTCTTAAAAAAACCTTAAGGGGTTTTAACCTCTCTTCTGAAGGAGATTTAACTTTAAGAGGTATTGAGCTTTTGAGGCTTCTGGACAGCTTTGGGGAAGGATGAACAGGTTAGGGGGAGAGATCGGGCAGAGGGAAGTCGAGCATAGAATGAGGGAAGAGGAATAAAAGAAGAAAGGACTTTTGGTTTGAGTTACAATTCAGGAGGATATAAAAGATAAATTGTTTTAATTTTTTTAAATATTTTTCTTTTACCTTGATCAAGGAACCTCTTAAAACAATTTTGGAATCTGAATTTATTTTGGCAGATTATTAGATATTTGAGATTTGTGCCAAACTGTCTCCTTAAATAAACAGTTTTGTACGTCAGCTGATGGTTGTTGGTGTCAATTCAGCACCAACAGGAATCCCCAATTTGTGATCTGATGAAGAAGAAAACTTTATTCAGTGCAAACAGCTCAATTGTGATTCAGCATGTCTGTAAAAACAGCATGGCTATGGAACAGCTCAATTGTGATATAATTGTCTGTAGAAGAGTGCAGGGACCAGGCAGCCCTGGGGCCAGGCCCCTCTCTAGCTCGACAGCTTTGCTCTGCTCCTTGATGTCCGCCATGCTCTGATGAGACATCTTCAGTTTATCAGCTCAGCCAGGGAGAGGCAGCCTTATTCAGTGGAAAAGGAAAGTGTGCTCCCTAAGCCACAGGGGAGCTGGCTTACTTGGAAAGAGTCCCTGCCCTTGGTTCTTGATTGGTCCATCCTCATGCAAATTAGGACTCTAAATCCTCATAACCTGGTCCAAAAGGCCCTGTCCTGATTCTAGAGATGCTCTGATTGGCTAGAGCTGCAGAGCTCTGATTGGATGGGGAAAGTCTCAGTCCTGTTGGTTGAAATATGATCCTAGGAACTCCTTTATAAGAGCTGTCTCAGGTGGTGGAAACCCAGTGCAGGTATGCAGTTTAACACAGAGCCCAGCAATTTAGCACAGAGGCAGGGCAGTTCACCCCAGGTTTCTTTGTGAATTAGAGTTTGTGTAAGAGGCTCCTGTTTACAAACGATTACTAGGCTCTGTTTTTTAAAATTTGAGTCCAGATAGCCACTAGGAGCACTTCTTAGTAGTTGTTTTGTTGTTTTTTTTTGTCCCCCTCAGGCTTCACAGTTATATCAAAAGCACCATTGTATTATTCTCTTGCTCAAGAACTTCTAACAGTCACTCATTACCTATGGATTAAAGCCTAGCATTTGGCACATTCATAGTACTCAGGCTTATGAAATTTCTGTCATGTATCCCTTCTTACGTGTGCTGTTTACTCACTCTGGTCAAACTTTTCTGAGTTGAAAAAGATGTATAATACCTTCTGAATAATAATACCTTCTGTATAATACCTTACCCCACCAAGTTATGGTGCCTATTAAATTGCACTTATTTATGTGATCCTAAGGCCACATTTTTGCTAAACTTATTATTGAGGTATAGTCATATGAGGCTACCAGTATTGTCCTTGACCACTTTCCAATTGTACTTTCTTTTGGAAACTTATATATATCTATTTCTTCTTCTTCTTCTTCTTTTTTTTTTAACTGTTCAAATACATTTGTCTCCAATTTTCCCACCACCACTTTCCCTTGCCTCACCCAGCCCCACCTCCCACCCTCAATCCTTCCCCACTTTGACTTTGTCCATGGGTCCTTTATATGTGTTCCTTGATTTGACCCTTCCCTTTCTTTCCGTTACCCCCTCCCTCCTTCCCTCTCATTACTGTTGGCTTGTTTCTTTTTTCAGTTTTGCTGGTTATATTTTTCTTGCTTGTTATTTTTGTTCCACTTATACGTGAGATCATATGCTGGCTGTGTTTAGTACTAATAAGGTTTCGTGATTTTTTTTTTAACAGGGTCTTTTCTTCTTTCAAGCCAAATTTCAGTTAAAACCTTTCCTGATCAAATTTTAAAACATCCTGCAAAGCACATTTTTTCCAGTTTTTGTGTCGTATAATTTCTTCTGACTATCTTCATAACCAATTGTTAGTCACAGATGGAAATATTACTATCTGTGTCTTCCATTACCTTCTTAGGACAAGCTACCTGAAAAATAACCTAGGTAACTTTTGGTCTCATGTTTTGTTTCTTTATCAAATTAGAAGAAATGTGTGTGATGAATGCTAGACATAGGCTTCCCCCCCATTCCCATAGCTGTCAGCTGTGTTAGATCTTCTTTACCTCCTCAGTGTGTAAGTCATGGTACTACCTTCCTGTTGCCTACTTACAGTAAAAAAAAAAAAAACCCTACACACTAAAATGTGTTGCCCTTTACATTTGGAGCTGGAAACCTCCTTCAAAGGGTCTTTTTTTTCTCCAGTTGTAAATTCATAGCTAGGGCCAAATCTGCTGAGGTTAGGTAGTTTTGATCAGCTTATTGGGTTAAAACTTTTTCAAACTAGGATGCCTTTAGGTTTGCCCTATCATTTCTTATGATATCACATTCTGAAGGATTCTTAGTCTTCTTTGTCTTTTTCTTTATTGGCTGTGGAAACTGGTTTTGATTTATCTCCACTTTGTGATTTTATTTGCTTTCATTTTCTTTCTATATTATTTCTTTAATTCTTTTTGAGAACTCTTAACCTTTTCTCAGAAACCACCACTGATTTTATTTCACATTACCTTTTTAGTAATATTTTAAAAAATATAAACCTGTGACTGATGGGTGCCTCAGGAAGAAGTATAGCAATACCCTCCCTACAGAGTTCTAGAGCAGTCGGGTCCCTGAGAAGTAAGCCCCTCTTTCTCAATTTCTACCAGTCATCTTTTGAAGCCATGCCAAATGTTTGTTTCTGGTCCTCATTTGTCATTATGCACAGGTTTGAGTTCATATTTCAGTAAAGGCGCTTTAATTTAAAGGCTCAGTATAGTACCAACAACCTTTAGTAAATAGAAAAACCTCACATATATTTCTGCACTATAATTTCCACGGTATTTAACCTTATCTTCTGACCTGTTTACCTGGTTTGTTTGCTTCTTGTTACTCTGTGTGCACTGTGTTGATGATGTGCTAATTACATATCAGATTTTATTATAGAATTTCTTGTTTGGTGAGTTGAATTTTACCTGCTTGATTTAAGAAAAATATGAATTTAGAACATTTAAAAGTAGGTATAGATTATCCCTTAGCTGTTTGGAGTTGCTTAAACTAAACATTTTAATACCATGTAGAAATACTTAAGGAACTTAACCAAGTCTGTGAGTATAATACAAATGTATACTAAACACAGATTTAATTAAGCCTTCTTAGAGTTAATTTTTAATTTATTTTTCTTTTGTGATTTCATTTTCTACTAATGATTTTTTTTGGGGGGTGGTGTCATGGTCACCATACTTTTATTTATCTAAAAGCCTGGTTTTTTATAATTGAGTTTTAAAAAAATATGTTTTAATTTATCTCAATAAGAAGATAAGAAATTGAAGTAATTTCAAATGTAAGGCCTCTTTTAAATTTTTTCCTTAAAAAAGTCTTTTTAAAAACTATAAAACATACAGTTTTTTCCCAAAATTGGTTCCTCTAATGGATTTAAACAAAATTTCAGTGTCTTTTAAAACCTATTTGAATTGTGCATTTAGAAGAAATGTGTTACAGTGAGTTCCATGTATATGAGAATGAACATCTATACTTTAAGTACATCATCTTTTCTTTGGAGTGCAAATGTTGTTTTTCATATGGTATACTGGACTGAAACACTCTCTGTATTTCTAATTCAAGTTTTAGGTTAAGTGAAAACAATCAAAGAAATAATGAGCTTTTTTTTTTAAATAAGGAATTACATTGATTTTTAAAGGTTTTTATCACAAGAAATTCTGAACATGCAGGATTTGAACTTTCTCATGTAACAATTCTCAAACTAGAGAATCCTTTCCTGTTCCCAGTTTGGATTAGAGTTGAGTTGTATTTTTAGTAACAGTCCTAACTCAGTAGCTATGTAAGCATTGAGCGAAGATGGAGTCACAGGGTAAACTGGGCTGGCTTCCCACAGGGAGGGCTGGGAATCTAGCAGGAAGGAAGGCCTGTTTGTCAGTGCCTTGTGTGCAACTATGTCTGAGTAGGCAGCAGGCAACACAATGTCTCCCTTGTACAAAGTAACTCTCTTAGTGAGTGCTCAGATATGTGAGGAAAAAGTGTTTGGGTAAGTGAAGGAGAAGCTTGGGGTATTTCAAAGAGATTCTTTTCGTGTTTTTGTGGCATTTGGATTTCAGGGAGTGTACTATTTGTTGCTGCAAAGTACTGGCTTTGTTTTCAGTGGCATTTTAGACTTATCGAACAAGCTCTACTGCAGGCAGATTGAAGCGTCTTTCTAAAACTGTGAGCTTAATTAAAAAATATGATTTGTTTGTGATGAAAAGTTAATTTATGCTTGAAATCAGGGAAAATTAATTGTGACATTCATTTTTAGGAATGAATTCACTTAAAAACTATTTATAATTTTCATTCTGAAGTCGGAACCAACTAGTGATAATGAAGGAGACCACTTAAAACTGATTACTGGTGTTTAAAATGTATACTGTTGATTTCAAATACAATTTGCTTGTTTTAAAACAGTGGGACTGTTAGTTATTACTTTAAGTGACTGTGATATGAAAGTTAAATAATGTTCTTCAGTTCAAATGATACAAACTTCAGTTTTTACCAAAAGAACTAGTTATTTTTCTTCTGGACATCTTGATTTTGAGATTAGCTAACATAAATTATTGATATTTTTATGAATATTTTATAATTTCAGCAACATTAATGATTAAGCTATAAGTAATTTTTTTTATAGAGTATGTACATATTTATAGTGTTTTGCTTTTCAATCTGCCTAGTGGAGTGTGACAATATGAATCGCTTTGATCGATCAGACAGAAATGTTCGGCAGTCTCAGGAAGGATTTTGGAAAAGGCCACCCCAGAGGTGGAGTACACAGGAACATTACCACCTCAGCCATCCTGACCGCTATCATCACCATGGAAAAAGTGACTTGAGCAGGTGAGTCTCATTTTCTATCTTCTGGTTAATTTTGAGTCATAATTTCCTCTTTAACCCTCCCCCAAAAATCTTCTTGTTTTTTTTTTGGCCTGGTTTTTAGTGGATGTCATAAACCATTGCAAGTTAGATGTGGTACTATTTAGAATAGCACATCTAAATTTTTTCTTTGGTCCTAAATCTTTTTTTCATTAACTATCATAAATATAAATATTTTATTTTTGTCTGCTATTTGGACTTTGAGTTTTGGTGTGATTTTCTAGTTCTTATTTGGGAATGATTAAATGTTGACTTTGTTGTAGTTTATTATTTTTTAAATATTGTAAAATTAGTGCCAAGTTATTTTTTTTGCATATATAAATTGCAATTTAAAAAATTCTCAAGTACTATTAAAAACAAAAGAAAGTACTGTGCAACACTAGAATTCTATTCCTTTTTGAAGTATAGCATAGTCTTTAATTTGATCAGACTTTATATACAATGTGGCTCTGTAGTCATTCAAGCCTGGGATCAAACCCTGGCCTGGCACATACTAGCTTTGTGAGCTTAAGTAATTTATTTAAACCCTCTCTCCTTCAGTTTATCATCTATAGAAAACAGTTTATAGTAACTTTTTCTCACTATTTAAGGATCAGGGTTATAAGTGCCTGGAGCACTATCTGACTTATAGTAGGCACCCAGTGTTAGCTGTTAGATTCTTTTCCTTTTCACTCTTGTTGTGTTCCACTGGGGATTTGAGGTCGTTTTGGAGCTAATTTACAATACAAGTAATAAAATTGGGATAAAGAAGAAATGGAAAGGAAACACATGGCTCCATCTAGTTCTTGAAGTAAGAAAAAGAAAAATTGGCTCTAAGATTCCTTGCAGCAAAAGCAAAGAATAAAACTTGATCTATTACAAGAGTTACAGAGTACATAAGATAAAGACATGTTTTCCTGAATTGATTGGCTTTTATGAGACAGAAACCTAAAAAAGGTTGCTTTGTATTCATTCTTATAAGGAAAATGCCTTGTGATACAGTGGACAGGTCTCAGACAGCTTCCTGAGGTAGAAATAATGATAAATTCCTTAAGTTCATTTCTTATGTTCTGCAGAAAGCTCCAAAGAACTCTAGTCCAGGTGAGAAAAGGCAGCTCTACAGTGGGTCATAAAATGGTGATGTCCAACCAAAGATCCTTCTATTGGTATAATTTGATGCAAGGATAAAATTTAGAAGATTTGAAAGAATGCATGCAGTACAGATCCTCCCAGGCATTATTTTGTCTGTTCTGTTTCTTACATCTGGGCTTTTGATAAGGAACAGACATCAGAGAGTTGATATTATCATACAAGAATCTGACATAAAGATAAGTCTTCATTTGAAGATTTTGCTTCCCTTATCTTTGATCGTTGGCTTATAAAGAGGTAAATTTAAGTCCAAATTATGAAAATTTAGAAGTCTTAAGTAAAATGTGAACCATTGCTTATACTTCAGATAAGATCTATTCAACCATTTCCCAGTTATTCATTAAGAACTGATATGTCACACTTTGTGCTCAGTTCTCAAGCTGGGATAAATTTGTGTATGGCATGAGAGCTATGGAATGGTAATAGCTTCTTGAAACATTGTTTTGAAGATGAATAAAAGAGTTATGCAGTGTGTGGGCTCAGTTGGAATCATTGCAATTATTGGTTAGGTAGAAGATTCATGTCTCTCTTCCATCCCATAAAAGAATGAGTAGTAGATACTTACTGCTGACGGGGTGTTGAGTCTGTGGGAATGACAGGTTGTTGTTAGTTATAATGCAGTATTAGTGTAGGGCAATGGTGACATGTGCCTCAATAAAGTGATGTCTACAGGTCTGTAGAAGCAAGCAGCAATGGGTTGTTGTCTGGGATAGTGGTATATAAAGGAGGTTACTTTTGAACTGATAAGTATGACTAGAGATTACAGAGGAGTAGTTTCTGTAGGAGAAGGATGAGTGTTCAGATGGAAAAAAACAAAGGTGCAAAACCATTTACGAAACAGTGTGGCATTTTCAGAGAACTACCCTACATTTAGAGCTGGATTGCTAGGTCATTTGGATGAATGAATAGATGTGATTTCTAACTGTAGATGGCAAAGCTATCTATGCATTTTACCATAAAGGGTGGCACATTTCAGCCTAAAGTGAGAGACTATTAATCAGACCATACAAAATGGAACAAATTACCTGGAGATAGTCTCTGTCCCTGGGAATGATCAAGCTGAGGCTGATTAGTTTAATCTGTCAGAAAAGTTAAGTAACATTTTCCAAAAACTATATTAATGGATGTCAATAGGTATAGATATCTTTGATCAGATGAGTGTGGGAATGATGAATAAGTTAAAGTTAAATGAGGTCTTTAATAGTAGACTCCATAGTGCCTTTAATATGTAGTATTATGATTTTGCACAAGGTAGTAAAGGATAGAATATGTAGCCATTTCCCAAAACATATGACCACAAGTCTCTTCTACACAATGTGTTTTGAAGGACTAGTGATTTGTGGATCATCCACACTGGTAATTCTCAATGAGGAGACAGAAATGCAGAGCATTCTTGGGGGTTTCTAATATGACTCGTTTAGCACAGAATTTCCCAACAAATGGGCTGAGGTATACCATTTCATCATGAATAGTTATAAGTTAACCAGGCCATTTGGAGTTTGGGACATCTAGATCCCCTAGAGCTAGTTATGGGGATGTTTGGTAGAGAGAGATTCCTCAAGCAAGACAATCCTTACTCCAGTGTTCTTTAAAACTATCATTTACTCTCTATGCCTTGATGTACTTGTACTGTACAAAAAAGGTTTGGATGCGCTAATCCCAGATCCTTTTAAATATTACATGTATAAAAATCCCTCTTTCCATTCTATGACTTCTTGGGTGTTGGTGCCCTGTCCTTTCTGCCCTTCAGTTCCTGACATTGTCATAATTACAGAATTATGTTGTATTCATAATTCAGGGGACTGGTGGTTCAGAAACACTGATCTACTTCCTCTATACAGATTCTCAGTTTATGATGGGGTTATATTCTGATAAACCCTTCATCAGTTGAAAATACCATAAGTCAAAAATGCATTTAATGCACCTAACATCATAGCTTAGTGTAGCCTGCCTTGAAGGTGCTTAGAACACTTACATTAGCCTACAGTTGGACAAAGTCACCTAATAAAATGAATACACTATAGAGTATTGGTTGTTTACTTTCATGATCATATGGCTAACTAGAACTGGGGCTTGCTCGGCTGCCGCCCAGCATCAAGAGAGAGTATTGTACTGTATATTGCTAGTCCAGGAAAAAAATCAAAATTTAAAATTCTCAGTATGATTTGTACTGAACACATACCACTTTCGCCCCATCATAAAACTGAAAAATTGTCAGTAGAACCATCTGAAATTGGGGACCTGTATTTTTATCATAATACTGTGCTCTCTTTTCTCTTGGCCTAATTTTTTACTCCTCTTTTCTCCCAGACCTCCCTTTTCTCCTATACTTTCTATTTTGTTATATAGAATTTTCTCACATCCTAACAAACTCATATGTTGACCTCTTTTTCTACACATTCTGATTGAAATTGAAACCTATCTCTCAAATGTACTGATTCCCCAGTAGCATTCTTAAAATAAAGAATTCTTATTTTTTAGTTACTCCAGTACTTTAGTGATTAGAGGTGGGGGTCTTGTCTTTACTCCTCATTGCCACTTCTAAATGAATTACTATTCAGTTACTTTCCTTTGACATTTAGGATTTTTGGCTATATGAGCTCCTCCTTAATGGCCCATAACTCTAGCTCACAAAAATCCTGGCCCTCGACTCACTTTCTGTCTTCATTGTAAGCTTTGCTGTAATCCTGAGTGCCTCTGATGTTCATGTACATGGCTCATATAACCCTGTGGTCCTTAGTTCCTTAGGCTTTTCTATTCTATATTCAAGATCGTATCATCTAAGACTAGAAATAGTTTTACTTTTTTCTTTCCAATCTGGACACTTTTCTTTTTTCTCTCCATCATAATTGCTATGGCTAGAACCTCCAGTACAATGTTGAATTGGAGTGGTGAGAGCAGCCATCTGTGTCTTATGTCTGATATTAGGATCAAAGCATTCAGTCTTTCACTGGTAAATACAATGTTAGTTTTGGATTTTTCATAGATACTCTGTCAGGTTGGGGAAGTTCCCTTCTATTCATACTTTGTTGAGTGCTTTTATTATGAAAGGGTGTTGGATTTTGTCAAATGAAATTTGTGTCTGTTAAAATATTTTTTCCCTTCATTCTCTTAACTTGTTCTATGACATTGACTGATATCAGGCTGCATTTCTTGAATAAATCCTACTTAGTCATGGTATGTAATCCTTTTATATGTTGCTAGACTCAATTTGTTAGTATTTTGTTGAGAATTTTTCTGTAGACATACTAGATATTGACCTTTTGTTTTCTTGAGATATTTTTGTGTGGTTTTGGTATTATGATCATATAGATTGATTTGGTGTTCCTTTTATATTTAGTCTTAGAAGAATTTATAAAGGATTTTTGTTAATTCTTCATTAAATGTTTTGTGGAATTCACCAGTGAAGTAGTTTGGGCCTGGCTTTTCTTTGTGGCAAGTTTTTTTAGTTACTAGCTTAATCTCTACAGATGTCCTATAGATGTCTTTTTGGTTTTGTTAGTTTGTAGTGCTGTTCAAGTCTTCTGTTTCCTTGCTAACCTTCTTTCTGGTTCTATCCATTAATGAGAAGGAGGTATTGAAGTCTCTAGCTTCAATAGATCTTATAGGGAAGGTCTGATAGTAACAAACTTTCAAGTTTCTGTCTGCATGGGAATGTTTTAATTTCTCTTAGTTTTGGAAGATAGTTTTACTGGATATTGAATTATTGGTTGATAGTCTTACTGTTAACATTTCAGCCTTTGCTTTCTGATGAAAAGTCAGCTAATTTTATTGAATATGTCTTCTACATGATAGGCTGCTTTTCTCTTGCTGCATTCAGAATTCTCACTTTTTCT